TTCCTATAGCCGTCTTGCAGGCATACAGGGCGGTATTGTCCTTCCTGGAGCGGTGTTCCGCTTCCAAACCTATTAACGTGTTGATATATTTTTATCGACATATTTTGTATGAAAAAGTTCAATACCTTTTTTTTAGATCTAGGGTTTATATATGTACATTTACGTATAGTCCCGAACTATTTCTTAATTCGAAAAATAAGATCGACATAGTTCGTTCTGCATCCCTTTTTTATGTTCCGCACCAATTCTAAATTTTTTACCAAAAGTGGACTTAGCAGCCTTTTAATCTTAGCCAGCTATATGTAGTGTTTAAAAGTAAAATAAAATAACTTTATAAAAGTACGAAATTTCGCTGCTTTTCGAATAGTGGGGATCTAGTTACTATTGGACTGGTTCATTTTTGCAAATAAAACACTAGCGCTGAACTATAAATTTGATTCACTAGTTCGGGTTTTACCTGCAGGGTACATACTCGCATAGTTAATTGTGCTCACATGCCCATAACCTTATAAATTTTATTTAGTTTTGCCACTTTCAGACGTGAATTTACTCATCTACACACATACACATACAAATGTGTGTACATTAGGGTGGCCCAAAAATGTATGAGAAAAATTAGTCGGAATTATTATGCTCTCACCCCCTAGGATTGTTCTATACCAATATACCCCTTTTTTATTTATTTTGAAATCAAAAAATATTTACATTTCTCTATAGGAGATTCCCTATACTAATACCCAATTGTTTATTTAACGATTTTTATAGGTAATGGGCGAACCAATAAAAAATCTTTAGTTTAAAAAAATGGTTAAATAAACAATTGGATATTGTTACTGGAAGTCTTCTGAAGAGAACCGAAAAATATTGATTTTCAAGATTTGCATACCATTTCGAAGAAAAGTTGTTTTTTTTTTGCCATCAAAATACATGGAATACTTTGAGCGCTTTGAGCGACCTCTAAATATTTTTTGATTTCAAAACAAACATAGAACGTAGGACAATTCTAGGGGGTGAGAGCATTGAAATTCCGACTTTACTTTTGTTTTGGACCACCCTAATGTACATACTTAGTTAGGATATAATTCACACTATTAATTGCTCATGAACACTAATTGCATTCAAATGTGTTTTCAATGGGTTCTTCGTACAGTATTTATGTATAGACGTATATATACACATTTATATTTGCTCACGAAAATTTTATCAGCTTTTGGCATGCACGCTTAAAATTGCTGGTCATGTGTGAAAATGTCGTCTACATTCCGTTATCTATTATAGTTCTTCAACACATCTGCAATTTACATACATGTAATTGAATTTTAATAATCCAAGCTTATCAAATTACGATTTTCCAACTAGTGACACATGTCCACTTGTATATGCAACCCGTTATCAACTCCATACTAAATATGTATGTAGGGTTGTTGGTATTAATTGCTTTGCAATTACATATCATGTATTTAGAAGCTTTTACAAGATCCAGTAAACTGAGTAAATAAAATTGAGGAGGTTGTCCAAAAGGATAGGTTAGTTGGAAGAGTATATTAAGTGTTTATTTTGTTTTTATGTTTGCCAATTATAAGTATATATATTTTAAGGAGTGCGTCATTAGAAATGGGTCACTACAACCTTGGGCTATTAATGAAATTATGCTCTTTGGAGGGTATCATGTCTCAGATGGATGGAAATAACAATCGTACTCCAAGGTGTATAGCTCTAAGTCGAGTTATACGCGGCAATCACATAATAGGTATAGCCCACAAATTCTGCAGTTCGTCTCCTCAAAGAGTCCGATTTCGTGTCGATGGTACCTTAGTCTGCTGTCCGGTGAGAGTTCTTAAGCCCTCTCTACTATGAGTTAGCAGCCGATCAGAGACTTCACGAGAGGGAATTATTATTTTTTTGGACTGCCTTTGGCCCTTGTCTGCGCTATTGGGTTGTAATTTGCAAGTCCTGCTATCCTTAGGGACTCTGCTTTGTATCCTCTGGTTGCACCAAAAAAAGGCTGAGGCCCGATCTGACTCCGTTGTATACAGAATTTCGGTAGAGTGTGGTCCCTTTCTTTGCCATCGAAGCCCTCATGGCACGGAACGCACCACAAGGTTACTCTGTTGTTGGTTACTAGTTTTTGCAACTGTCTACTACATGATTTTTATGGGTATATGCTCATCGGGTTGCTCTTTTGAAAGATCAATACACGCCAGCCCCAGTGTTTCCAATCCTCAAGTATGGAACCATCAGTGTACCAAACTTGATATTGCCTTGTAGGGATTTGTTAAGGTCAGCTTCGGCAGCATTGTGTCTGTGAATTTTACTACGGGATCATTTCTGAATAGTTTTAGGACACCCAAATGACCCCTTAAGTCCCCAATTTTCAAGCTGCTTAGGTTCGGCAGTATCATAGCACTCCACCGAGCTCTTTTCTCTATAAGCGTAGCTAGAGACGGTATGCCTAAGATGACTCCAAGCGTCTCTGTCGGACACGTGCGCATGGACCACACAAACCAGGCGCTGGAACTTACCCAGAGTGACGTTGCCGCATAGGTGGCTTTTAACACTGTATTGAATGACCAGTACAGTAGTTACGGGGATATTCCGCAAGTTGTACCTTGGGGCCTTTGTGGATTTATTGGTAACCGCCGTCTGATGTGAGCTGCAGTTTAGTACCTTTCCTAGTATTACGCCTAAATCTTTCGTCTTCAGTGAGAACTCAATCTCTGTCCCACTCAATTTGGGTTTGGGCAAGTTGACATTCCTTCTTTTGGTAAATGGGATGACGACGGACTTCATTGAGTTAATTGACAGGCCTTTTTCAGCATTCCATTCCTTTTAAGTCTTTCTAAAAGTTCGTCCGAGTACCGAAGAAGATGGGATGACGAACGAGCTTTTTAACGACATGTACTTTTTTTTTGTTGGCACAAAACAACGCTAGCAGAAAATAGCACTCAGTTTACATGCCGTTAATTGGATTGTCCCTTTAATCTGTTTTAAGTCTGCACGATTAATAAACCTAAGCAGATTCTTGGGTGTCAAAGAGCTCAGGTGTTCATCTCTCAACACATCGCGGCCAAACGCGTCATACCTAATTCTTGATAAAGCGGGGCAGAAGCACAAAAATTTGTCCTAAAAAAGTCTGGGCTCAGTGCTGGTATTAAACCAACATTAAGCCTAAAGGAATTCAACACTATAGAATTTCTTCAACAAGGGTAGTGGCGGCGTACTATCCTGTGACATTTCCCACACTATTGACTGGGAGTCTGCTACACCATACCACTTACGCATAGCTGATTATGGAACTGATCATAGAGGTATAAATCCACAGGATTCCCTTTGGTGACAGACTCCACGTTTTGCCAGAACCTGTTTACATTGCCTAAATGCTGTCACTGCTTTGGAGGTCTTTTGTTCCACGTGAGATTTCCTCGATAGTTTTGTATCTAGAATTACTCTTAGCTACTTCACTTTGGGAGAAGTCTGAATTGTGACTCGTTTAGAGGTGAGGGGAATGGCACCATCCGACCTTCTCCTTTTAGTAAAGAGCACAACACTGATCTGGTTGGGTTAGCGATGTGCCCATTCCCATCACACCAAGATGAGCCCGTGACTAGACATGTACTTAGTTAAGCGTATGCAGATACAACGATTGCGCTGGCTTAGCTATTTTGTACGCTTAGATAACAACACTCCAGCGAAAAAATCCTTCGACTCGGCAATCATGGAGGGACAAAGAAATCAAGAGCGCCCACAAATAGAATGGTAGGTTAAGTGCAGAAGGACCTGCCTGCACTCGGGATGAACAACTCTCGAAAATTCGGAAAGGAGAGAGGTAATTGGCAAAATTTTGTTTTAGAGTCTCGGCACACACCGACAAACGGTTGTGGTGCTGAATAAGAAAAAGAAGAACTTTAACTTCTCGGGAGAAGAATGCTTCAGAATATCTAAGGTTAGGAAGGCGCCCAGAGAAGGACCGAGAACAAACATTGCTATTTTTTCGTATCCTTGGCTCTGTGAGGACTACTTCTGGTCTAGAAAAATGATGTAAAAGAACGTTATGGCTTTGGCCTGCAAACATAGCGTGGAGTTGATCCGGATGCAGGGAATACATCATTTATGGGCTGACGAGCTAAACGGTTACGGGCTGGCTGTTGATATTCAAAGGGAAAAAGATGTACTTATTATTCTGATTTGCATTAAACACCAATTTTTTGAGAAAGGTTTCGCCAATGCCAACTAAAGTTGGGAAAAAATCAAATCATACAGAGTTTGTAGAAGTCCGTGGTCTTCGTACTGCCTAAAATGGGCTTCATTGTAAAAAAAAGACCCAGGAGGGAGTCGTCTAGAGACAAAGCGCACAAGACACTGGTCCTTAGGCACACATGCGACTAGAACGGAGCTAAGCTATAACGTTTTCTGTCGCAGAAGCGATGCCCTCCGTTGGTCCGGGATAGTGTTTCTGGGAAAGCCTTTCCTAGGGTCTGGCAAGCTTTCTCTAAGTCTAATGGAATTGAGAAATGAATCCACCAGAATAAGTTAAGTCCCTAAACTCCACTTAGTGGATCTATGTCATACAGCTTCCTAAATGCCAGTTTTGGTTTTAAACCGCAGGCACGTAGTACTAATTGGTGATTTGTCATTACATTCCAAATCAACTAACCAACCAACGAACTATCGAGTTGAAGGAGTTATGCATCACTGAACCAAGGTAGCTAAACCGTAAATGCTAGGCAGCTATCGGCTCTAGAAGGACCTAAATCCACATACAGAAAGAGGGTGAAGTTTGGTGGACGGACGAGTTAAATTTATTTCCCATAACTCTTGCACAGTATTTTCTGTGGCAAATGGAGTTTTTATGGCCAATTGAGAAAAGCTTCTTGAGCTCGAATGATTTTAGTGCTAAGGTAGATATTTTAGCTCGAGAACATAATCAGTCGAAGAGTATCCGAAATATGTAATCTTTTTCAATCTTTTCATTTCACGTTATGTCGAGTTCTTTACCCACATTACCATCCATTGTACATCCCATTTATGCGCTCTACATTTCTGCATATTCGACAAAATTTGAAATTCAATGCGATCCTGTTACATTTCCACTCACCTTAATGATCTGATTTCCGGATAGAGATACGCATTCGGATTGCCACCACTTGTCGTGCCATACCAAGCGAAATGCTGCTCCTGCACTAACGAATCATTGAACGCACCGTAAAGCATTAAGTGTCCATTCTTCGAGAGCCAAATTGCATTATTCGAGTGCAGGATTTCCTCTGCAAGGCAGCAGCACCAGCAACAGCAACACCAGCAGAGATGTAAGTCAAAGTTGTAAGCAGGCGAGGTAAGCGGATATTGGAGTTGGCGTCGTATGTATATTTGAAATTCCAATTACGATTTATAGTCGTCGGGTTCAAACATTTGGCACATATGCGATTTGAATGCCAAGTAGCCAACCGCCGGCGGTGGTCAGTGGACGACAGCAAGCAGCAGGTGTGTTTTCGCGCGGAGGTATAGAAAGAGAATATAGATTGAAAGTGAAGAACGGAAATTCAATTTTCGATTTAAAGCAATTTAATCGAATGCGCAATCAGTGAATGAATGAATTGAAATGAACCAACCAACCAACGAACAAGTGAACCAACGAAAAAAAAGGCACTTAGAAGCTTGACTGGTCAGTTAAAAGCCCCCTCCCCATCTACAGCCGCTTGCAAACAAACTCACCTTCATAGAGCCAATCTGGTATGCCATTATAGACGATGCCAGGCACAGCGTCGCGCGTTATACGATGCACATGATGGGTGGAGCGCGGCCCTTGGCAGTAGTAGATGTCATAGTTGTAGACCAGCACCAGCGCATTTCCGGCGGTGGTTGGCGCGGAGGTGGTTGCATTGTCATTGCCAACTGCTTGGGTGGACACGAAGCGAGCATAGTGTAGATAGGGCCACTCATCGCTGTGCGCATCGATTTTCAACTTGATGCTTTCACTAAAAATAGAAACAGAAATAGAAATAGAGAAATTGGAAAGTATAACAAAAAAAAAAGTTGATATGGAATGAGTAGGGGAAAGCATTGTTTGGCAACAGTTTGTAGAATTTTTTTTTTGTTTGTACGGGTAGGATTTGCCAATAAACGGGTAGTGAAAACGAAAGTACGGAAATAGCCAAGCGAAGGAAATGACAGCGGTACGGACAGCTGAACTCGCCAGCTGTAGCACACTTTCCAAGTACACTTACATACATAGATATGAATTGTAATTAAATAAAATTCAAGAGATATTTCATGCTTAGGCAGCTTTCACTGCTAATCGTAATATTTTTTTTTTTTAAGTAGATATTTTTGTCTGATTTAAAAAAGAAAAGCCGTTATTGTGATTCTATACTTAAAATATTAGATAGTTAATTTGAGTTTTTAACTCACTACAGAATTTCTATTCACAAAGCAGATCGATTGCTAGTATAAACTTAGCCAGTAAAAATCGATCTGGTATTTTTCGAGCAGAAATTAACCCGTAATTTTTATTTTTTGGTATTAATAATAAGCAAAGCTAAGTTTTTATGAGCTTGGTTAACATGACCATAACTTTTGCTTCACTCTTAACCCTTTCGATCGCCCAGGGACACTATTGTACCACAGCATGTTTGTAAGACTCCTAATCTCTTAAATCTATTTAAACGTGTTTTTTAAAAAGTCCAAACTGTTTTTGTATTTTGTTGCATCATCTGCAATATGTCATTATGAAATTTTTACTTGAAATATAACGTATAATTTTTATTGGCTACAGAAATTTTCTGGTATATGTGTGAGAAATATGGATAGATCAAATATGCCCAACTATAAAATTTTATTGGGATACATATTTTCCAATATATATATATGATAAACAATGTTTTTTTTTTTTTTGATTTACACATATTGGCTTTTTTCAATTTCAAATATTTTAAAATTATGTTTGTGCTTACATCCTGGAAAAGTCCGAACAAAAGGGTTAATGCTCGAAACTGAAGTCGGAAAATATTTACCAAAATTTATATCAGACTTTAAATCTGGTGTTGCTAGCTATTAACAGCTGCTTTAATTCGCCTCGGTGCAAAGATGTCAAAACTTCTAACGAGTGGGTGCGAAAGTAATATTGTTAGAATTTTAAATCCCTTTTCGCCTTTAAGCGAAGAAAAGCTGAAATTTGATATTTGTGTACCGAAAGCAAAAACAAAATACTTGTAAGTTTTTGTTTTTGTACTAACGCTACCACTTTATTTCGAATTCGCTTAGGTATGGAAAGTAAAAGTTCCTTTAAAACATTTTTACGTTTGGAAGTTATTAGTTACATTTTAAAATTCCTAAGGAATTTTCCCCACCTATTCTTCTTCCCTCAGAGCCAAAGTTAATTTGGTTCAGTTTTTCTTGCTTAGTTGGACTCTTTTTTTTTTTGTCTGACTCACTCATTCGTCCAGAACTTCCACTACTTTGTTGGCAAGTGGTAATAATGATAACCGGCGACTGCTTAATGAGAAGGCATGCTGGTGAAATGGTCCTGCCGGTTAGTGATTTTTGTCAGAGCTTGCTTAATTAGGAAGAAATTGAAAGCATAGTCCACAATCATAAGATCTTAAGAAGGTTCAGCACAAAGTTACTTCGGGCTCCTCGTGAGGATTAGGAGAACTTTATTTAATTTATGACTAGCAAATTCCGGCGTGAGTGCCTTATAAGTACTGTCGTGCTGTTTGGTATCCGTATTGTAATATTCTATCAATTTAATTTGATAAAATTTTTCAAACAAGTGGCAACCCTCCTCAAAAATATTTTCGGCAGTAAATATTCCTAAACCTCTTCTTTTTGATACCCATATTGTAATATTCATTTTATCTTATCAATTAAATTTAATAAAAAATTTTAAACAGGTGGCAACCTTTAATATATATATTTTCGCCTGTAAGCTTTCTTAAACCTCTTTATTTTGGGAGCCATATTGCAATATTCACTTTATCTTATAAATTTACTTAAACTGCAATTTTCAAACACGTGGCAACTCTCCAAATTGTATCTTTCTATATGTTTTAAGCTAGAACTCTAGCATTACATCGGTTAAGGCTGCATTATTCTTCGAGTGAAGCGCGTACAAACATACAGACAGACAGATAAAAATTCTAAAAATTGTTGACTTGGCTTCTGTTGCTCTATTAAAGACCGCCCATACTAATTTTTCTTAAATATCTATAATGTACAGACATCGTCCTGCTACAATTTTATTATATGTATAGATAGATTATTTCGTTAAAGCTACTCACCTCGTTTGTACATCGAAGATTGTATATTGAGCCAAAAATGAATACCGGAAAAGCTTGACAACATTTTGCGCCAATAAAATGTAACGTTTATCAGCTGATATAGTAAAAGTATATGGTGCAAGAGTTTTCTGGAAAGATAAATTAATGAGAAAAATTTACTCACCAACAAAGTTCTTGCATATGTATTTAAATGGTTATTCTAATGGACAAAAATATATTTCCATATAGAGAAATGTAAAACAAAAAAAATCGGTGCTGTTTGTTCATCGAAAATATAATATGTATGTCTTGTATTTTATTACTGCCGCCAAAATATTTCGGAAAAACATTAAGATTTCCGTAAGCTGTATAGTTTTGTAAATAGCTCCAAAAGTCTAGTTTTTTTTATATATACAATTAATTTTAAAAATATTTTTTTTTTGTCATTTGTTATTCAATGGTCTTATAACAGTTTTTGTTTTCATCTTATTGAGCCTGAGGCTGTTTTTTATTAAAAACTGTTTTGGAAAAACAACAATAGTTTACATTTTGGTATATTTTCTAAAAAATCACCTAAGATGATAAAAGTGTTTAAGCTTGAAAGGTCTGCATAAAAATGTTTAAAAATTTTATTAACGGAATTAAAATAATGCGATTTTTGATGGTATTTTCAAATCGGTCTAGCACACATAAAACTTAATATTCTTACGAAATATTTTGCCAGAAGTCTTAAAATATAATAAGTTTTGTAATTCCGGTGCAAAACCGCAAGTTGTTTTTTTTGGTGATGCACCCTAATGTATATGCATGTGCATTTTTATATGAGTGACATAATATTAATACAAACACACATTAAATGTAATTATTTGTTAGGCGGCATAAAAAACTAAAACAATGCAAATTTACTGTGTATTTTTACTACGTGGCATTTCTCATTTTGATGTGTTTTAAAATGCCTTGAAGCTCGTAAATTATATTACTGCATTTGCGGGTCTTTGGAAAAATTGAGGTGTTCAAAAGCACTAATTGCTGATTATGTGTATATTTTACTACACGGTAATTTGTTTTTTTTTTTTAAATTCATTAATTATTCATTTGCTTTTAGTTAAGTGCAAAGAAAATATAGGCACAAATAATAAATTTGCATTCAATTAAATTATGTATGTAGGTTCGATGGTTTACAACCGCAAAGCGCACATCACATCAGAATGCATTAAATACTTACAAATAACACTGGTTTGCAGGAAAAAAACTTTTCCGGCGAACATTGACTTGTTCGCTGAATCCAAATTTGTTGCCAGAATTCAAAAGTTGGCTATGTTTTTCTTTCTAGCATTGAAAGATCTAGGATTTTGGTTTTGAGGTTTGCACTAAAAAACCGAACCAACTTTTTGATTCAAATTCAGACTAAGCGACTAAAATTTTATTAGCATTGACAACTTTCGTATGCTAGAAAATTTTTTTCAACAGCTTTAAATATTTAGTATAGCAAAAAAGGAAATCATTCAGTCATGTGAAGGAAAGCTCCTATGGATTTTGGTTAGCAAAATACATATTTGAAATCCAAATTCTAAAAATAACTCTGTTTACAATTAAAAAACCTATTATATTGGTACATATATTTACTAATCTCTTTATCCTAGAAAAAAATTAATTTTCGGAAGCTAACTAAAAAACAAAAATTCAAAGAAGATTAAAAAATTTTAAACGACCAAAAAAAATCTAAAAAACTAAACCAGTTTTTGCCATACAAAAATTAAAGAATAAAATTTTTAATGAGATTGTATTAACTGTATTGTAAATATGATGATTCCATGCAAAAGTAATACTTTTTCACAATTTTATGCCATACAAGATTTCATGTTTTTTTTTTTTTAATAAAATAGTATACATACCAATTTATTGCCATACAAAATTTTATGATTTTTTAAATAAAATGTTTAATGAAACTCTATAACCGATTGTTTTGTAAACATGACGATTCGATGCAAAAATAATATCTTCTCACTTTTTGTATGTCATAAAAATTTCACTGTGATATTTAGTCTTTTAAAAAGTTAAAAAATATATCAATTTATTGGCATACAAAATTATATGATTTTTTAAATAAAATTTTTAAAGAGATAGTATAGATTTTATTATAAATATGATGATTCGATGCAAAAATAATACTTTTTCACTGCTTTATGCAATAAAAATGATGTCATTTATTTTTTTAATTTTAAAAAAATATACTAATTTATTGCCATAAAAAATTTTATGATGTTTTTAATGAGATTGAATGACCGATAGTTTTGTAAATATGATGATTCGAAGCAACATTTTTTTTATGTATAATTTTTTTTTTATTCAACAATTTTTATTGAGCTCGAGGCCGTTTTTAATAAAAAACTTATTGTGGAAAAGCAACAATAATTTGAAAAAATGGTAGAAGTGATAGCTATTTCGGAAATCACCACATTTCCTCATCAGACTTCTTTCAGTAGGATTCGAACCGAGGATCCCACTGACGCAGCCAGTTGCCTACGCACTGTGCTAAGTTCGCCTTGTAAATTATCGTTGCTTTTTTCCCACTTTTTCATGTGGTAAGCCCACACCATCAAGCGCAGCTAATCAATTATATTTTTTTTTTAATTTTTAAAGAGATTGTATAAACGATGGTATTGCAAAAATAATGGAAAAATTATACTTCTTCACTTTTTTATGCATTGAACAATTTTATGATTTCTTTTTTAATTAAAAAAATATGAAAAATATACCGATTTATTTCCAATAAAAAGCTTTATGATTTTTTATGTAAAATTTTTAATGTATTAACGATGGTATTGAAATAATATATTGATTCTATGCAAAAATAATACTTTTTCACTTTTTTATGAAATAAAAACTGTTATGATTTATTTTTTTTTTAATTTGTAATGAGAATGTATTAACGATTGCATTATAAATATAATGATTCAGTTCAAAAATAATACCTTTTCACTTTTTTATATTATGCCTGATTTATACATATTATAAGGAAATAAATAATGATAATTATTTTTTTAACGTAATGGCCCGAATGTATTTCAATATCCAACTTTGTCATTAAAATTTCTCCCATTTAAAGTCCAGTGGAAATCCACCATTAGGCATAAAAATACCTGGTCCTTATGTCAGTTGTCATTAAATACGTTTTCAAGGCCATTTCAATGCCTAGTGCAAACATGGCATAATCACTTTTTATTTAATTTAAATTTATTTTATTTTGTTTTCTATTTTATCACCATTTGCATACTTACATACGTTACATTTGACATGAGCACTCTTTCGGTAAGACTGGTTGCATTTAATAACACAATTCGTCCCCAATGATCCTGATATAGAAATTCCTCACCTGCAATAAAAAGTTTTCGAATTTGAAAAGAATTAAATACAAATCTATGTACATACATATGTATATGTATGGAAATAATACTGATGATTGACGAGGTCAGTTTGATAAGTCAGTGCTTTTGAATGAAATAATTAATTTTTTAGAAAAATGCCGTTTAAAATATTAAATTAATGATCTCCTCTTATGTACATGATTAGATATGTAGGCACTATAAATAGGATGTACTGGGACCTAATTGATCTTTGGGATCCTTTAATCTTCGAAACACTTCACCTAGTCGAGATCACGAAGTCACAGCGATCCCAGGGCCCTGAACGCCGGGGCTTAGCGCGCCGCTTGGCTGTCAGAGTAGATATTTATCTCTATAAACGATATTACACAAGTTCGTAACCAATCGGCTGCTTCTTCAATGGCAGCTACCTCTGCCTGAAACACGCTACAGAAATCCGGTAGCCTAAATTTAATATCTAAGATTAGTTCCTCACAGAAGACACCTCCTCTGACTCTGTCATGAAGCTTCGACCTATCTATGAAGATATTCACCGGTATTTTGCTGCCGAGACCCCATTTCTTTCCAGTAGCGCTTTTACAACAGTAAATGACAACCGATGCTTTCCTCACTCGCTCCTCAATATTTGGTTCTCACATTCGTTTTCTGTCAACAATCACTCCCAAGCATTTGACTTTATCAGACAGCACAAGTGGAGTGACACCGATCGAGAGGAGCTGATCATCAGGCACCTTGTATCTCCTGGTGAAGCAGACTAGCTCCGTCTTGCCAGGATTAATATCGAGAGGAGCTGATCATCAGGCACCTTGTATCTCCTGGTGAAGCAGACTAGCTCCGTCTTGCCAGGATTAATAGCGAGCTTACAATTGGAGATTAGTTTGTGACCAAAATTTAGGTATCGCTGCATAAGATCGTACAGATTGTTCAGAAACTTATCTCTGATAATAAGTGCCCCATCATTGGCATAAGCGATCGCCCGACAGTTTTCCATTACATCTCCTCCAGGATGTTATTTATGATAATGCCCAGAGGAAAGGCGAGAGAACCCCAGCTGTCGCAGAGAATGCGTGAGATAAGAGCAACCAGGTTGGTCTCAACTCCGAGCTTGCTTAGGGCATTTACAATCGCCGCGGGTAACAGGTTATTAAAGGCCCCTACTGCGAAGCCTTTGGTTTCCAGAGACTCTTCTATAACCTTACCAACAGAATGCAGGGCATATTCCATGGATCTGCCCTTCATATATCCGTGCTGAGAGAATATTAGTCTCTCCCAGGAAATCCTGTTTCTTATATACAGGCGAACTAGCCTCTCCAACGTCTTGAGTGGGAAGGATGAGATACTCATTGGCCTGAAGTCTTACGGCGATATGTTTCTAAATAGAAAAAATAATACGCGTATTCTTTTGTAAAAAAAAAAAGTGATATTTACAACATTTGTTTCGATCGGTTAAGGGTCTCTTCAGATATTCGGAATTTTTACGATCTACCTTTTCTCTTGTATCAAGATTCTATCAGTCGGCGAGATTATATGGGTTTTCAGATTCAGCGAACAGTGTAACTAAAGAAAATTGTTTTGGGGAAATGTGATTGAAAGTATAAGAATTTTTTTCAGAAATTTGCGGAATTGGCTTGGACAGAGTTAGCATCGCTAGTGCTGACTTTCCTCTATGTACATAAAATCAGTGATTATTATTAAGGGTTAAAGTTTCTGGCGATCTACACGATTTTATCCCTCAACTTGCTAAGCCGTTTTCAACCAACTTTATTTATTTATTTTTTTTTTTCAAATATACATAAAATACAACTTAAGCTTCATTTTCATACTCACCATTTATCCATGTACCATTGGTTCGCTGTGGCATAAAGAGTCCATCCACAATGTCCTGCAGCTTGATGCGTTGTCCCTTGACGCGCGGCCCCTCATCGGGTGGTGTGAGTAGTACCTTTTTTGATAAATGCAGAAATTTTATATGTTGTTTTCTATAAGAGAAAACCCAGACAAAGAAGAAAGAAAAAAAGCACAAAAATACCGGGGGGACACACGACCACCACGAGACACAAAAAATATAGGAAAAATGGGAAAATATATGACATCAAATTTACACGAAAATTGGCATTGGCGGGATGACAACAACAAGAATTGCGCAAAATACGAGTACATGAGGCGAAATAAGTAGGCATACATACACAGACAAATGTATATTGTGTGCATAGCATACATATATACGAATGGAAGAAATATAATAATGTGACTAGACTAAAACAAAAATAATGAAAAATTAAATTAAATAAAAGTTTAGCAGCCGTGAAGTATGCAACAAATTACACAAAAATACATAAAAACGGAATGGGAAAAACTGAAACAAGCTGGAAAATATGTATGTACAACAGACGTGCGCAAGTCAAGGCATATTTACATAATTACACATTAGGGTGGGTCACATTAAAATCCAGTGGGCTTAAGTGCTTGAAATGGAATATGACTGACTTTATATCGGTTTGGAAATTTATAAAAAAAAAATAGTTTTTGTCACATAAAGTTTTTGGCAAAATTATAAAACATTAAATCAATTGCAAAGAAGCATAATTTTTTCAAAATTATAAGATGAGTGTGATGTAGAATTTTTACATTTTCGTAAGCCTAATACTGGTCGGATACAAAGACACTCGCCAGACACTCATATTTTTTCAAATTCCAATAATACTTTAGTGACATGCATTTTCAGGAGGTTTTTTTTTACAACTATTTACATTTTTACAATTATCTTTCGACATAAATACACACATATAAACTAGTGTTTTCTTATATTTCCAGCAATCGCACTTACCACTGATGTAACAATTAATGCCAGTACAATGATTATCACCAATAAGGCGATGAAAATTCCGCGCCAGTTCCGCTGGTTGGGGTTGCTGGAGACCAACTGTGCGTGAAAAAAAAATAAGAAAAGAAAAATTTTGAAAATGCAGTAAGGTGAATTCAAGATATCCTGTGTTTTAGAAAATATATATGTAAGTACTAAAAACTGCAATATTTTCATATATTACTATACATATCGAGAACTTATATTCAATACCCTCTATCTGCACTTTTCAGCAAAATGAGATTCTGATAAAAAAAAAAAAAATTCATCTAAGACTTAACTGCCATTGGTGTTGTTAATGCAGACGTTGTTTAAAGCTTGATAGAAGAATTTACTATTAAATTGCATCAGTGATGACAGGTAAATCCCAGATGGGTTCTAATATCAGAAAGTAGTTTTTGTGAAAATTACAGATAGTGGGTATTGAATATAATGTGTATTAAATTTTCACCCAAAACTAATATGAAAATATATTTACTTATTATTAAGGTCCTTTACCGTTTGTGAAATCTGTACGAAAAAAATTTTAATTTTTTTTAAGAATTCTTTTCAATTGAGTTCTGGTGTCTGACCACGGTACTGATTTGAGAGACAAAAGAATTTTTTTTAAAACTTTAAAAAATAGTAGCAATTAAAAAAAAAATAATTTTTTCACTTTTCTACAAAATATTGTAAGTCTAGCAGGATGTTAATAAAACTTTGACATGCTTAATTTTTTCAAACTCGAGTTTGTTTTTTTTTTTACATCGGAGCAAAGTCAAAATGTCTAAAATTTCAACAAATACATACGAAAATTGTAAACTAATGTAAAATCCGCGCGCGAGGTTTCCCTATTAACATATTGTAGATGTTGCAAATAAAAAGATGTAAAATGTAAAAATAATATTTTTAAACGAAAAATTTATTTGTTTTAAATTCTGAAAAATTGTAATAGCCAAATTCACGCAAGCAATTTAATTAAATTTTTTTTTTGTTTGTAATTTGAATTTCATGTGAAAACCAACAGTAGATAAAAATACAATTTTTTGCTTAAATTACAGGTGAAATCGGGGGTGAAACTTTAAAGATTTTTAATAAATATTGTACACAGTTTGAAATTTTACATAATGGTTTTTGATAGATTGTGAGCTATTCTTTTATAAACGAAAATAATAAACATTAAATAAACAAAAGAAAAATAGCAAAAACTTGTTAAAATATTGCGTCGCTATTTGATTACTAGCAATCTTACATACATACAATTTACTAGAAAAAATTTAGAAAAAAGTAAGAAATGGAAAAGATGAAACTTCTCGAAATAGCTAAAGAATAAAAAAAAATTCAATAAAATTTATTAAAAATTATGCATGAAAAATTTATTACAAAACAACTTAAAAGGAGTAACAAAGAATTGGAAAAATGTCGATTCACTGATGATGTAAACATTTTACTTTCAAAATATTTATAATTAAAATTACGATTAAGATTTTGTTTAGAAAATAATTGTTTCAAATTTTGAAAGAGTTAAAATAAAAAATGTAAGGTAACTAAAAATTTATTGTTATTGGAGAAATCTATATTGGATGTGAATTTCTGAAACGTTATCGATTTTTTAAAGCTATCGATTGTTAAATAAAATTTTTTTTCATAATTTCATAAATTCATCGGTTATTTATTGAAATTATCTGTTACTATTTTTTCATAGGTTTTGATTGTTTTTAAAGTTGTTTATTATATTATGGAAAGTATTATGGAAAGTAATCGATAAATTGCTTTTTATTAGAGAATACCATATTTAAAAGCGTGACTCAGATTTCTTTTCACTTTGACTTAGTAAATTAATACTTTTTCTGCTTTTTTTTTTACTCAGAAAAGCCATTATGGTACTATAGTCAAATTTATGAAATTTTTTTTTTCGTGACCATAATTTAGTTGCAAGGGCTTTGCTTTCATAGATTAAAGAGGTTTATTGGCCCTATTGGATTTTCTCTCTGTTTTGCCACCGTTGTGTTATATCGTACCTCTAGTTCTTTTAATTATTCCGAAAATTTATTTGGCAATACCGTTTTAAAAATATTTGTTATTTCTTATTTTGTAAAAAAAATCGCGCATATTTATATGGAAGAAAATGCGTAGAACCGTGCCCAAAAAAAATGTTTAAAACTCAACTACTACAAAATAGCCACTTCAAATCTGCACATTTTTATACTAAAATCTAATGAGCTATAAAAATGCATACTTGGAATTCTGATTAAAAAGTTTTTGATTTCCATGAAAAACATTGCGAGTATTTGAAAATCAATAGGTGAGCAAATCTTACGAGTTGTTAAATTTTTCAACAAAAACGTGTTTTTGGACAAAAATGGTGGCACACTTATCTTTCACATTGCATTATCTTACGTTTTGCATAAAGAAGAAGATTTCTTCGCGATATTGTCTTGAAATGAAAACTTAAAAAAGATATACTCAAAAAAGTAAAAATAACAAATCGTGCTAATATACCGCTTTAACCGGTACTGGAACTGGAACTGGAACTGTTTATGGAACTCTATTGATTGAAATATACGCAATATATTAGTATTTCCTAATTGTGCACTTAGTCTAAGTTGTATTATTTCGAAAATACTGCGCAAATAAATAATACATTAGTATAAACTGGCACAAAAATAATGCGTGTCATTAAAATGCAAGCAATTTTGTAATTCTCACACAAATTGATTATGGAGGCGTTCCCAAAGACAAATACGCTTTACAATAGACCAATAAAATATGCGCCGAAAAGTGTTGCAAACACCTATCTCAAAATTAAATGTATGCAAGTGGTATTTATCAAAACCTCCCTCAACCAAGCAGCTACTTTTTTGTTTGTCCTTAGCTTCCCCTTTTAAAGCAATATATTATTTTAGAACCGTGATTTCTTGGGAGTTGGGAGTGCAACAAGAGGTTGCGCTGCTGGGTCATTGTATACACACGTACTTTTTCCCACTTTCTTTTGCATTCTTTAAGGATATATATATATTTTTTTTTTGATTTTTTCATTCTCTGAAATCGCATCGATCCCTCTTGCGTCTGGCACTTTTTGTATTTTGGCAACTTTTTATGGCACAATATTGTATGCTTGGGCTGCTGTGTGTTCATTCATTTACTTTTCTTTGGCCACATATTGTGGTCATTATTTAGGCCACCATTATGCCGATATTAGAACGCATTTTCTTTTGTGCTAGTAACGTTAAAGGGCGGCGCAAGGCAAGAATGGCGAGCTTGGGTGTGTTCAAAGCTGTTTGTTTTTTTTTTTTTTTTAGTAACTATTAGTTATTCTTTTGTAATTTTTGTGAAAAGTGTTTGCTTTGTGTTTTCGTAACAGCAAATTTCTTCATCGTTAGAAAATGACTTTTAAAATAGTGTACATACTTCGTTGTTGAAAAGGCATTTCCTAATAACCAATAAAAAATTTTGCCGTAACGCATGTTGAAATTGTTCAGGAGTTTTTTGCGCTCATTTCTTTGTATAGCATGGTCAGAGTTTCAGGCCATCTGATCCATTTTTTTTTTTTTAGTATAGGAAAATTTACAGGAAATAATAATGACGCAATACAAATTTAACTCTGCTCCAGCCAATATTTTAAGATCTTCGCCAAAGAAATGGTTTTATTGACAAAAAAAAAAAAACGCTTCTCATCTCTCAGACCGGAAAATAAAGTTAGAAGGTAAAGGATACCTGTTAGAATTGCGACGCCTCTCTTTTGGGTGGTTAATTAAGCTTCTTGATAAAGCCTGCCAGTAAACTCTTTGCTTGGCGCATTCCTCATGTACTATGCCAATTAATTTTAGTGTGAGAATTTGTAATTTCATAGTGTTAAGCGGTCTAAATACCTTAACTCGCTTAAAAAAATAGCCGCAAAATATAAAATATATCAGCTTTGAATTATTTTTCATATTTTTATAAAAACATGGGGTGAAACCAGCAGCTATTAGTTACTAGTTTGTACATAAAAATTGTCTACTCGTTATTGTGCCTATTCCAACCTTCCCTTCAGTTAATAAATAAAATGAAATTTTTCCAACTCTCAAAGCCATTTATTCACCAGCCTTAAATTGCAATATTCCTAAGCATACACACATTCTCTTTGTAAATTTAATCCCTTACACACACACACAAACACACAAAAATTCATATTTGCACACTTCAATTTAAATTTGTATAAATTCTCAAACGCTTGACATTTTACAAACGTAAGCATTGTGTAGTGTAGCAAAAATTTCTAAGCAATTAATTTTGCAACAAAAGCAAAACCAACTTGTTGCTGAGTGTTGAAAGCTACTAAAAGTAATGAAAAAATAAAAAATAAAATATACTCAGCAACATTTTATGCTCCAAATAGTCATCCGAGTGATTGAAGTGAGGTGCAAGTGGTATTGCGCATTGTGGATTTCGCCAGCAGTTGAGGCAGGAGAGAAGCGAGCAGCGTTCAGACAAGTGAATAATTTTCATGCAGTACTATGCAAGTGAAGTAACGATATATTTCTCTTAATTGCTTTATAAACACACACTAACAAGTTGTATGCAATCAATCGTACACTTTGTCTTTCCTGCCCTGCAGTGAAAAATTATCAATTGTTAAAACTAACCAACTTATAGTTATCTTTTTGGCGAGATTTCGATTAATACCTCACTTTTAATTAGCTATGACAAAACCAACTTAAAGTGAATTGTAAAGTCGTGCAGGAGTCATGCGGACGCAATCGGGAGTTGGTTTTCTTTACAAGTTTCTATTAAATATCCTCATACAAAAATTACTTTCAATACACTTTTTTTCTGAACTTCGCAGATTCTTTTTCATATTCAGGACAAATAAAAGGAAGATCGAAATTTTATACTATCATTTTGAAGTTATGTCTGACGGTGTTCGAATATGGGGCCACCCAGAGCAGAATATGTAAACAAATATGAAATTTAATAAAATAAAGTAAATAAATAAGTAAATAAAAGAGTAAAAAAACAAAAAAAAATATTTTGTTTTTCTTATTGATATTTTATGTCCAAAAGTAGTTAGTTACAAGTTAGTTGACATGTAATGCAGA